ACAAGCCTCAGGCTCCCTACCATTCCAGATTCAGAGTGATTTGCACCAAGGACCAGTAATTTTGTTCCCTTCACAGCACCCAGAGCTAGAGTGTTGTCAACGCAAGCGCTTAATGAATGTTGATGAACAGAGTTGGTGATAGGTGTGGGGGAAGAAGGGGGAAAGGCAAATATTAAAATAGCTGTCATAAAAAAGAATAAAATAGTGACATTTGCAATAACATGGATAGAAATAGAGATTATCATACTAACTGGAGTAAGGCAGAAAGAGAAGGATAAATACCATATGATCCTAGTTGTACGTGGAATCTAAAATATGACATGAATGAGCTTATCTAAGAAACAGACTCACAGACTTGGAGAACAGACGTGTGGTTGCCAAGCGGGGGGAGGGGTGGGGGAGGGATGGATTGGGAGTTTGGGGATTAGCAGATGTGAGCTATTATCTACAGAATGAATAAACAAAGTCTTACTGTATAGCACAGGGAATAATCTTAAATATCCTGTGATAAACCATAATGGAAAAGAACATGAAAAGGGGTGTGTGTGTGTGTGTGTGTAACTGGATCGCTTTGCTGCACACCAGAAACTAACACATATTGTAAATAAACTACATTTCAAAAAATAAATTATAAACAAAACAAAAAGGCTGAAACCTGAGTGTTGGTAGGACATGGGGGACATTTCCTCCCTCACAGCCTACTTGAGAAAACAGCCTGACCATTTTTTAGCCCATGACTCAGCCATTCCACCCCTAGGCATTCACTGGGGGAGAAAAGTGGATAGTCACCAAGAGACATGTACAAGTATGCTCAAAACAGCTTTAGCCACAATTGCTCCAGACTGGAAAAAACCCAGATGCTCACCAATGAGGAAAATGGAGGAATCGTGAAAAATTGGTACCCAGTGGTTACAATAAGAAAGGAAAATATTCTAATTGTTTGCAAGGACGTGGAGCCTTGGGAACCCCTGCACACTGCCAGTGGGAATGTACAGTTTAGCAGCTGCTATGGAAAACAGCCTGGCAGTTCTTCAAAAGCTAAATACAGACTCACCATATGACCCAGCAATTCCACTCCTAGGTACAGACCCAAGAGAATTGAAAGCAATGTTCAAGAAAAACTTGCACATGAATCTTTACAGCAGCGCTGTTTGCAAGAGTGGAAAGGTAGTAACAACCCAAATGTCCACCAACAGATGAATGGACAAGCTGAATGTGGTGGGTCCACAGGAAGGAATAAAGTGGTCACATATGATACAACATGGATGCACCTTGAAAACATTATGCTGAGTGAAGAAAGCCAGAGAGAAATGGTTTCGTATAGTATGAAATGTTCAGAATAGGACAATTGACAGGGACAGAAAGCAGATTAGTGGTTGCCAGTGGCTGGGAGGGAAGGGGTTGGGGAAGACTGCTAAAGAGTATGGGGTCTTAAAACAAAAAGAGTATGGGGTCTTCAGCAATCCCACTTCTGGGCATACACACCGAGGAAACCAGATCTGAAAGAGACATGTGCACCCCAGTGTTCATCGCAGCACTGTTTATAATAGCCAGGACATGGAAGCAACCTAGATGCCCATCAGCTGACGAATGGATGAGGAAGCTGTGGTACATATACACCATGGAATATTACTCAGCCATTAAAAAGAATTCATTTGAATCAGTTCTAATGAGATGGATGAAACTGGAGCCCATTATACAGAGCGAAGTAAGCCAGAAAGATAAAGACTATTACAGTATACTAACACATATATATGGAATTTAGAAAGATGGTAACGATAACCCTATATGCAAAACAGAAAAAGAGACTCCGATGTATAGAACAGACTTGTGGACTCTGGGAGAAGGCGAGGGTGGGATGTTTCAAGAGAACAGCATCGAAACACGTATATTATCTAGGGTGAAACAGATCACCAGCCCAGGTTGGGTGCATGAGACAAGTGCTCGGGCCTGGTGCACTGGGAAGACCCAGAGGGATCGGGTGGAGAGGGAGGTGGGAGGGGGGACCGGGATGGGGAATACGTGTAAATCCATGGCTAATTCATCTCAATGTATGACAAAAACCACTGCAATGATGTAAAGTAATTAGCCTCCAACTAATAAAAATAAATGAAAAAAAAAAAGAGTATGGGGTCTTTTAAGTATTTTGGAGCTAGATGCTAGCGAGGGTCATACTACATTGTGAGTGCCCTAAATACCCTGAATTATACACTTTAAATGGTTAAGTAATAAGTGCATGCTTAGTCACTCAGTTGTGTCTCTTTTTGACCCTTTGGACTGTAGCCCACAGGGCTCTTTTGTCCATGGGATTTTTGAGGCAAGAATACTGGAATGGGTTGCCATTTTCTTCCTCTAGGGGATATTCCCGACCCAGGGATTGAGCCTGCATCTCCGGTGTTTCCTGCATTGCAGGGACATTCTTTATCTGCTGGGCCATCAGGGAAGCCCCTAAAATGATAAGTAATAAGTTATATTTATTTGATCACAATATAAAAAGAAGGAAAAGATACTTGGGAACTCTACAGAACCATGAAAAGACAAATGCCTGCTCCACACACATGAGGAGCAAGAGAAGCCAGAACCAAGAGTGGATACCCTGTGCAATCCCATCTATGAGAAGTTCAAACTCAGGTAAAATTCCCCATAGTGATGAAAGTCAGATAAGTGGTCACCTTGAGGGAGCGGAGAATGAACTGGCATATCCAAGGTGGTGCAGCAGGGGCTGGAAATGTCCTAAACCCTGACCTCCATCAACCTCCACGCCTGACACTCCTGAACCTGACCGTGTCTATGTTCAACCTCAATAAAAGTGTTAAAAAGAGAAAAGAATTGCCAGGGAAAGGAGACTAGAGCATCCAGCAGTCCTGTCGGTTGAGGGTTTTCCATTTCCCCCACAATTTCATCACCTGATCCCTCTGGGAACTGATGACCTGAAAACAGGCATGGAGCTGGGTGTGGACAAAAGCAGGAGGGCAGTGACTGGAGTCTCTTGCCTGGGATTTCAGAAATGGTCCCCAGATGCTTCTTTCATCTCTTGGGAGATGCTTCCCCAGCTCTTCACACTAGGGTCTCCAGACTGAGAGACACTCTGGGACAGGAAAACCTCAGGACTCCAGAACACTCAGAACATCAGGTCCCAGATGCCTTGGCAACTCAGAGCCCTTTAAGACTCACTAGAATGAACACTTAGGCTTCCCTGGTAGCTCAGCTGGTAAGGAATCCACCTGCAATGCAGGAAACCCTGGTTCGATTCCTAGGTAGGGAAGATCCACTGGAGAAGGGATAGGCTACCCACTCCAGTATTCTTGGGCTTCCCTGGTGGCCCAGCTGGTAAAGAATCTGCCTGCAATCCAGTAGACCTGGGTTTGGTCCCTGGGTTGGGAAGATCCCCTGGAAAGGGGAACGGCTACCCACTCCAGTATTGTGGCCTGGAGAATTCCATGGATTATTCCATGGGGTTGCAAAGAGTCGGACACGACTTAGTGACTCCCACTTTCACTTTCAGAATGAACACTACCTATCATAATTCACAGCCCTGGGCAGAAGAGAGAGCATAGACTTCAAGTAGAAGGTCCCAGGTTCTAGTCCTGACCCAATCAATCAATGCACATGAGTGAATGGTGGATGAAGGAGTTTTTCGCTCCCATTTCATACCCTTTCATGCACTTCCCAGATGCTTGGCTTTGTCCTGCAAAAAAACTGGGATCCCAGAGAAACCTCAGTCTGGTCTGGCCTCCAACAATTCCCTATACTGCTGGAGGAGATAGAACCTGACTCCCACTTTCATTACTGTTGAGAGCAATAATGGAAGAGATCACAGGCAGCCAGCAAACAGGGAAGGGAGCCAACGGGGAGGGACTGGGATAGAGGAAGGATGCCAGGGCCATAAAGGGAGAGGAAGTAGAGCACTCATTCGTTAGACAGACGGCGCGTGGCCAGCGACTGTTATACACTGACCAGGGAGGAAGCTGGACTGAATAGATAATGAAGGGCAGTGGGAGGTTAATCTTTCTTGGCAGATCTTTTCATTTGTCTTGATTCGTTTTGTATACCTCCAAAGATGGGGGGCTCACTCCTGAGGGATGCAACCCAGCCCTTCCTAGGCATGATCATCAGTCAAGAAGTTTGATGCAACGTGATTTTTCAAGTAGTGGCCACCATGGGTAAAAAGGCTGAATGCAATTGACTGGGGAAGGCGGGTTACCCAGGCAGCCAGTCTCTGTCGCAGGCTGGATCTGGAATCAGACCCACCTGAATCTCTCCTCTACCTCCTATGGGCCTGGTAACTTCATCTCTCCAAGTCTATTTCCCCCCCATTCCTCTGAAATGACTGTGCCCACAGCCTACTTCATAAGTACCAATTTCATAGATTCATACATATCTTCAATGAGCCAAGGTAGCAAAATGCCTGGCAAACTGTAGGTGCAGCATAACTGTGGTGCCCTGCTCCAGATCCAGAGTGCTCTGGAATCTGTCGCAACTTCACATGTACTTTCCTAATCTCTAAACTCTGCACATGCTCTAACTTAAGCTTAATTATCCCATAACCCACATCTGGAAAACTCCTACACATCCCTTAAAGCCCTCAAAGTTACCCTTCTTTTCTCTGTTTAAGCCATGACCTAGGGAACCGGGACCATCTGGGACCTGGTTCAGATTGGACCCACTGAGATGTGATGTGAGTTTCTGGAGGGCAGAGATTCCAATCGGCAAGTAGTAGGCACGCAGTCAGAACTTGCTGGATAAATGAGTGAGAGAATGAATGAGTGAATGAATGAATGAAGCAGTAGTCATTTGGGAGAGGTGCCCAAAGCGGAGATTCAAGACTCCACTAACCCTTCCGAGCCTGTATCCGCACTTCCCACTGCCGCAGAGGGCGCGAGGGGGCAGATAACCAGCGAGGAGGGGCTTCCGGGAGGGGTCTTCAGCCCTTCCGGTCCGGCCCCTTTAAGGGGCGGGGACAGCAGGGCGGGCGCTAGGAGCGTCAGGGCGGCGCTAAGATGGCGGCGACGGTCGCAGGGTCCGGGGCGGCCGAGGTCCCCAGCTCGCTGCTGCTCGTAGTAGGCGGCGAGTGTGGGTGCCGGGGGCTGCTTGCCTACGTGCTGGAAGAGCTTGAACGAGGTCGGACCGGTCCAGGACCGCGGTGTCGGGGAGGCGGGAGCGGCCGCGCATCTCGGCCTGAGAGCCGGAGGATGGAGTGGTCGGGGCGGGGGCCGGCCGGATCGGGGGGCGGAGGTGGCCCGGGCCCCTATCCTCTTACCGTTAGACGCAGGGCAGGCAGAGTCTGTGGGCGCCCGGGGAGGAAGCAGCGTTCGGGGTCGGGCTCAGCTGCTCCGCCTCGAGCGTGGTGCAGACTGGGGAGGGGACACGGGCCCCGACTTTGGGGGCCCACGCGATTGGGCAGCATGGGCGACGGCTCCACTTCCCGCCCTCCGGGCGCGCCTCGATTCCCCGGCTCTTAGTAGCCTGGACGTCCTGAAGGGAGGAGCAGAGATGGGGAGGTTGGGCCCGGAGCCCCGGGGGCCACTTTCCGTAGCTCCATGAGGAACTGCTAATTGGGGTGTGGGTGGGTGCGGCCTGCTTAGGGGATTTGGCACCTGAATATGTGAGTCATAGATGCACCTGCAAGATTCACCTGCAAGCACTTGGCACGGTGGGACCGGCGGGCGTGGTGCACCCCACACCGTGCTGCTTGGAGGGCATTCATCCGTCATCCTGCATCTCTCAGATCGTCAGCGCCTGTCCTCCATGGCCAGTAAAATGGGATGGCAGCGCACATCTCATGGGTTTGGGGAATGTCACCCCGCAGGGCATAGAGGATAGGGCGGGGACCTCTGGCAGGTTCAGTCCTGCCCTTTCAGGACTAATGGTCTGGTGGGGAGGGGGGCAGGGAGATGGATCAAGTTTTAAGCTCAGATGGTTTCAGGACTGTTCAGAGGAAGATGGCAAGGGCTGAGAGGATCTGAAGGACGGGAAGGCAGGGAGAGGGGCCTCTGGGCAGTGGGAACAGTTCCTGCAAAAGCTTAGAGGTGGAACCTGTGCGTGGCAGGGCTGAGGATCAGTGAAACCAGTGGTGGGGGTGTGAGGATACTGAAGGGGATAAGATGACTGTCTAGGAGATGGGGACTTTCTTGCTGAGGTCCTAAGTCTTCTTTGTAAAGTGCCCGAGTTTTTGGGTTCCTTGATGGTGGATGCAGTGAGATCCAAAGGCACACTGGATGGTTCTGAATCTCCTGGCCTTCGTGTGCAGGGGTAGGTTGGGGGAAGAGGGGGCTGTGGTGGCCCTCGCCTGCCCTCTGCTAGTTATTGAAATATTCTGGGAGCTGGGGAGCCCAGCTGATTTCCTATCTCCCTTTCCCGCCCACCCCACCAGGCATCCGGTCTTGGGACATTGACCCTGGCGTCTGCAGCCTCGATGAGCAGCTCAAGGTCTTTGTGTCCCGGCACTCAGCCACCTTCTCCAGCATCGTGAAAGGTGAGGCTGTGAAAGGTGGCCCTGCGTGCCCCAGCTGCTCCCCTTCTGTCCACTTGGTGAGCGCCAGCTGTGTGCGTCAGGGATGGCTGTAAACAACAGTAATAATACAGCTGAGATCCACGAGGAAGAGCAGGGACAGGCCCTGAGCCAGCACTCACTCCCTCAGTCCTCACCAACTCATGAGGTCAGAACTTGCGTTTTTGTTCCCATGTGACGAGTGAGGCTGTGTGGTGTGGGGGGCAGGGAGACCTCTGAGGAGGGTCTTTCTGGATGAGAAGCAACTGGTGGGGAGGGTAGAGGAAAACACCCAAGCAAGAGGACAAGACATTTGGAAAGTGAGGGGCGGTGGCGTGTGGGCTGGGCCTGGCAGGGCCCGGGTGTGGTTTATGGCTGTGATTCTTGCCCAGGGCCAGGTACACGGTAAGTGCTCAGTAGATGGGAGCTGAGAAAGCAAGATCGAGGAGGGGGTTGGGACCCTTGGGCAGCCCCACACGGTCCGTGCTCCCTGGGGATTCTGGGGTGACTGGGGTGAATGGAGTAGCTGCTGGGCAGGGCCTGGGTGTTGCCTAGCTACCCCCTGCTCAGCTGGCCTTTTGAGTCACCTCCAGGCTGCTTCAGGAGGGGAAGGAAGTGTCCGTCACCTCATTGTCCCAGCGGTTCCTGGTGGCTTCCTGACCCTCACTGTATCGGATTGGGGAGGGCTGGAAATCCCGTCCATGCTGTGTGACCTTGGCAGCCACTTCCCCTCTCTGTGCCTTAATTTCCCTGCCTGAATGGGGCAATATCCGCACATGATAAGAAGCCTGTGATAAGCTGATAAAGGATAACCAGCAGTGGAGGTTCCTCAAAACACATCTGGACTCTCGGGGGACAGACAAGGGTTCAGATCCCAGAATCAACCCCGCTCCCCTCTCCGTGACCCATGAGGCCTCCCCGCCCTCGACTCCCTCTCACTGCCCCCCGCTCTAGCCCCTTCCTGACCCTCAGACCCCGAGAGCTCAGTCCTGCCTCAGGGCCTTTGCCCATGTTGTACCCTTTTCCTGGTGTACCCTCCTTGGCCTTCCCTGGGCTCAGGCTCCTTGATTATAAAGAGGGGTGACGATGCTGCCCCCCACAGGGCTGACAGCTGCAGTTGGGTTCTGCCAGCAGTGGAGGGCTGGTCCCTGCTGTCTCCAGCATGGGGCCCGCCAAGGCGGTTTCCTGTTCTTGCCTCATCCTGACCTGCAGCTCTATCTCATGTCTGTTAATCTCCGGGTGACCCCCTGGCTGGAGGTCCTGGGAAACAAGAGTCCTGGAAGGGCTCCTGGCCACCTAGGATCACCCAGTGAGGCGGGATTTGACCCTGGCGCATGTGGCTCAGCCCTAAACTCAAAGGGCCCGGTTCTCCCACAGGCCAGCGGAGCCTGCACCACCGTGGTGACACCCTGGAGACGCTGGTACTCCTGAATCCATCAGACAAGTCCCTGTGTGATGAGGTAGGAAAGGGAAGGCTTCTGGGGGGAATGGGCTGCTGGGACTGGGGCCATCCCCTGGCCCCACCCTCCAGGGGTCCCTGACTTCATCTGCCTGAAATTCTCTTCCTGACAGCCAGCAGCAGCAAAGCCTCCCCTGGTGACTGCAGCCTCGATTTAGTCCCTCCTCGGAGCTGCTGATGGGAGTAGGCGGAGTCAGAAAAGGCTGGAGCATGGGAGGATTGAATGGGATAGGGAAGGGCTGGGGTGTGGGAGGGCAGAACCCAACCAGTGTTTCTGGGTCTCGTGTGTTCCCTTGGGCTGGGCCCTGCTAGTTGTCTGAACTGATAATTCTAGCTTGTGCACATCTGCACTCTTCTCTTCAGCTTCCTATGAGATAGAGCCCCCTAGAGAGCCTTGTACAGGTTGATGCCTATGATCAAAAATGCCCAGTTTTGCTTCCTGAGGAGGCTCTGGCGGAAACAGCCAGACACAGCCCCCTCTTCCCTAGGGCACCTGGGCTGAGCCAGAGGGAAGTGTGGGCTTGGGAGGCCCAGGAAGATTTGGAGGGGCACTGGAGCTGGGCCTTGTAAAATGAGCAGGAGTTGGCAGGGAGGATGGGGACCAGCTCCAGGAGGAGGCCCACAGGCTGCATCCTGGCTTCTAGTTTAGTACTAGCCAGGCCACTTGGGGCACCGATTGTTATACTTTGGTCACTAAGCCATGTCTGACTCTTTGGTGACCCCGTGGACTGTAGCCCACCAGGCTCCTCTGTCCATGGGATTTCACAGGCAAGAATATTGGAGTGGATTACCCTGTCCTTCTCCAGGGGATCTTCCCGACCCAGGGATCAAACCTGTGTCTCCTGCATTGGCAGGCAGGTTCTTTACCCCGAGCCACCAGGGAAGCCCTGGTAGGACAAGAGTGGGCTGGTTTTACATAGATTTGGGGCTGGGGACCACCCCAGAGAGCGGTGCTGGCTATCTCACTGCATGGAATAGGGCTTTGAACGCTCTCCCCCTCCCTCAGCTCCGGAACCTTCTGCTAGACCCTGCCTCTCACAAGCTGCTGGTGCTGGCTGGGCCCTGCCTGGAGGAGACAGGGGAGCTGCTGCTCCAGACCGGGGGCTTCTCACCCCGCCACTTCCTCCAAGTCCTGGGGGACAAAGAGGTGAGCCGCCCCCTCACCATCCTCCCTCTGAAGTCTGGCTCATCCCCACTGGGCTGAGCCGCCCAGGTGACCTGCTGTCCCCCCGCCCCGAGCATCGTCCCTTCTCCTCTGTAGGGGATGGTGACAACATGTACTGTCAGGCTCAGTCCCATGGCCCACTGCACGGTGAGGGCCTTTAGATCAGATGTTGCAAAGGCTTCAACTGGCACCCCAGATTCTAGGGCCCAGCTGGGACACAACTGGATGGGGGTCCTCTCTGATCCCTGAGTTTGAGTGGGGCAAATGAGCAGAAAACTCTGGGAAACCATGTTTTCTGTACTGGAGTGAGTGATGTAGAGATGGTAAGATAAAGGCCAGTAGACTGAGGTGGGGGTGGGGACATGTGTAGAGAGTCTCCCTGGAGGAAAATGTGCTCTAGGGTGTGAGAACAGCAAGTGCAAAGGTCCTGGGGCAGGGAGAGTGAGAAGGTGGGGGAGGGCGGGAGGGGAATAGGTGGTGAGACAGGCCCATGGGCCCTCCTGAGCTGTAGGGAGAGCTCGGTTTTGTCCCGAGGGTGATAAAGGCAGGCAAAGGGGCTTAGCTTTCCCTAGGGGCTGGGTGTTGCCTGGCTCCAGGTGACCCCTTAACCATTCCCCCTTCTTCAGATCCGGGATCTCCTGGCCTCCACACCGCAGCCTGCAGAGCCGCCCAAGCTCACCATCACCTGCCCAACCTTCGGTGACTGGGCCCGGCTGGCCCCAGAAGTGCCCGGCCTGCAGGGCGTGCTCCAGCTGCGGTTGAACCCTCCAGTGCAGCTGCCGGCTTCCGAGGGCCTGCGCGAGTTCCTGGAGTACGTGGCCGAGTCACTGGAGCCGCCCTCCCCCTTCGAGCTGCTTGAGCCTCCGGCCTCCGTGGGCTTCCTCAGGCTCGCCCGGCCCTGCTGCTACATCTTCCCTGGCGGCCTTGGGGACGCCGCCTTCTTCGCCGTCAATGGCTTCACCGTGCTGGTCAATGGCGGCTCCAACCCCAAGTCGAGCTTCTGGAAGCTGGTGCGGCACCTGGACCGGGTGGACGCTGTGCTGGTGACGCACGCGGGCGCCGACAGCCTCCCGGGCCTCAACAGTCTGCTGCGGCGCAAGCTGGCAGAGCGCGATGAGGCGGCAGCCGGCGGGGGCTCCGGGGACGACCGGCTCCGCCGGCTGATCTCCCCCAACCTGGGCGTCGTGTTTCTCAACGCCCGCGCGGCTGCCTCGCGGCTGGTGCGTGGGGAGGATGAGGCCGAACTGGCCCTGAGCCTCCTGAGCCGGCTGGGCATTACCCCTATGCCCCTGAACCGAGGGCCGCTGCCTGCGGAGCCCACCGTGCTCTTCCAGAAGATGGGCGTGGGCCGGCTGGACATGTATGTGTTGCACCCGCCCTCAGCCACCACCACCGACCACACCCTGGCCTCCGTGTGTGCCCTGCTGGTGTGGCATCCCGCGGGCCCCTCTGAGAAGGTGGTGCGTGTGCTGTTCCCCGGCTGCACGCCCCCCGCCCGCCTCCTGGATGGTCTGGTCCGCCTGCAGCACCTGGGTTTCCTGCGGGAGCCGGTGGTGACGCCCCAGGACCTGGCGGGGCCTCGGCGAGCTGAGAGCAAGGAGAGCGTGGCCTCCCGGGACAGCTTGAAGAGAGAGGGACGCACGGTGGTGCCCTCCAGGCCCACCCAGGAGCGCCCGGGGGTGGCCCGGAAGGAATCCCCACGGACTGAGGCCCCTCGCAGGGCTGAGAAAGAAGCCCGGCCCTCCCGGGAGGTGAAGAAGGACCCCAGAGCCGGCGCCCCTCGCACCCAAGCCCGGGAGGTGCGCCGGGCAGGCTCTGCCGCCGTCAGTGGCAAGAACGTGGGTGCCCAGGTGGCTCCCAAACCCCGCAGAGCACCCAACACACCCCGCCCAGGGGTCCCACCAGCTGAGAATGGGCCCCGCAGCCCCCCCAGCTTCCGGAGCGGAGAGGCCAGCCCCCCGACGGAGGCCTGCGGCTCCCCGGCCCCCCAGCTTGTGGCCACGCCTAGCCAAGAGAGCAGCCTGGATCTGGGGCTCAGCCCGGCAGGGGAGGAAGGCGGCAGCTTAGAGGAGAAAACCCTGGAGCTTCTGTTGGCCTCCAGCACCCCGCAGCCGTGCACGCCCTCACCCGCCGGAGCCCAGCAGGGCCCAACAGAGAGCAGCGGGCCGCTGTCGCTGAGCCCCCTGCGGGGTGGGGAGCCTGGGCCGGATGCCTCCCCCACGGTGACCACGCCCTCGCTGCCCGCGGAGGTGGGCTCCCCGCACTCCACGGAGGTGGACGAGTCCCTGTCCGTCTCCTTCGAGCAGGTGCTCCCGCCGCCAGGTGCCGCCGCGGGTGAAGCCGGGCTCAGCCTCCCGCTCTGCGGCCCTCGGGTGCGGCGCTCGGCCTCCCCGCACGACGTGGACCTGTGCCTGGTGTCGCCCTGTGAGTTTGAGCACCGCAAGGCCGTGCCCATGGCGCCGGCCCCCGTGTCCCCCGGCAGCTCCAATGACAGCAGCGCCCGGTCGCAGGAGCGGGCGGGCGCGCCCGGAGGAGCCGAGGAGACACCGCCCACATCCGTCAGCGAGTCCCTGCCCACCCTGTCTGACTCGGACCCCCTGCCGGCTGCCCCTGGCACTGCCGACTCGGACGAGGACACAGAGGGCTTCGGGGTCCCCCGCCGTGACCCGCTGCCTGACCCCCTCAAGATCCCCCCACCGCTGCCCACCCCACCTAGTATCTGCATGGTGGACCCGGAGATGCTGCCTCCCGAGCAGGCCCGGCTGAAAGAAGGCGGCGGCCGTACCCGGAAGCCCCTTAGCCGCCCCAGCTCCGGCACGACTGCCCCGAAAGCCACTCCAGTGACTGCTGCCAAAACCAAGGGGCTGGCCAGTGGGGACAGGGCCAGTCGGCCACTCAGCGCCCGCAGCGAGCCCGGTGATAAAGGAAATCGGGCACCCCTGTCCAGAAAGCCCTCGGTCCCCAAGACAACCACTCGAGGTCCATCCGGTAAGTACCTGTGGGCCGGAATCCTGCAGTGGGTTTCCTATTTGCAGTGTGGTCTCTGCCACACCCACCGCCCTCTCTGGGCCTGTTTCTCCTGTAAAATGGAAGCTCTGGCCTGACTGTCTTTAGCACTTGCAAGTGGTGCAGTTCTGAGGTGCTTGAGCAGTATCGTCAGTGGAGACATCATCCCAGTGAGTACATCTGTGGTGGTGGTGTTTCCAGTAGCCACTCGAAGCAGAAAGAAACCAGTGAGATTAATTTCAATGGTACATTTTTATGAAACCCCTTTGTGTCCAGGGTCCCAAAACCACCTCCAGGTTTGATGACTGGGTAGGAAGATTCAGTGTGTGGTCATACTTATAAATGTATTACAACAAAAGTATACAGAGGAGGATCAGCAAAGGGACGAGGCATGGGGAAGTCTGGGAAACCAGGCATAGCTTCTGGAAACTTTGTTGTGCAGTTGCTAAGCCATGTCCGACTCTGCGACCTTACAAACTGCACGCCAGGCTTCTCTGTCCTTCACTACCTCCTGGAATTTGCTCAAACTCTAGTCCGTTTTGTTGGTGATGCCATCCAGCCATCTCACCCTCTGTTGCCCTCTTCTCCTCCTCTCAATTTTTCCCAGCATCAAGGTCTTTTCTAATGAGTAGGCTCTTCATATCCAGTGGCCACAAGTGTAGAAGCTTTAGTTTCAGCATCAGTCCTTCCAATGAATATTCAGGACCGATTTCCTTTAGGTTTGACTGGTTTGATCTCCTTATTGTCCAAGGGACTCTCAAGAGTCTTCTCCAGCACACAGTTCGAACCCTAGTGGAATTACACATCACGTGCTTGAGTCCCTGATCTCCGAGCTGTGACGGCACGTGTGACATGCCGCCTTCCAGGGAAGCTCCTCAGAGACTCGGGGCCCAGGGTTTCTACTGGCGCTGGGCGTGCAGGCACTTGCTGCCTCACACGCTCACTGAAAAGGCTTCCTGGGTCCAAATCTTGGACACCAGCTGGGGGGCCCAGTATTCCCCTGCATGTTGACAGCATCTACCTGAGAGAGAATCCCATTCCACAGGCGAAAGGCTCAGCCCCATGAGCAGCCTCCACTCCGGGTCCAGTCCCATGCAGACTGTTACTTGCGCTGCTCACTGGCTGCAGGTCAGAGGCGCCCAGGACCCCTTCCTTCCATTTGTTAATATGCCAGAGCTGCTGACAGAACTCAGGAAAATCTATGTACTTACTAGATGACCGTTTTATTATAAAAGGCTATTAAAGAATACAGATCAACAAGCAGATGAAGAGATGAGATAGGACACAAGGGATTTTCTGTTCTCACAAGCCTTGGAGCCCTGTGTGGTAGCACAGAATGTTCTGGTTCCCTGAGGTGGGACGCTCTGAAAAAGGGCTAGAAAACTTGAGGCTTTTATGCAGGCTTTATTACATAGTAACGGTTGACAACATCATTGGCCAATGGCAGTTGGTTCAGCCTCAAGCCCCTCCCCTCCTCAAAAATCAGGGGCAGGACTGAAAGTTCTGACCCTCTAATCACATGATTAGTTCTCCTGACAACCTGCCCCCACCCTGGCCTGGGATCCAAAGTTACCTTCCTTACCATAAACCCAGTTGTGATGAAAGAGAGCTTCTGAGGAATAACAAGACACCCATTTTACCTCTCTGGCCCTAAAATATTTTTTGGAAAAGAAGACCAAAGAGCAAATATAGCAAAGATGCTCGCATTGCTCTTATTAGAAAATTCCAAGAGTTTGAGAACTGTGAGTCAGGAACTATGGATAAAGACCAAGTACATCTGAGCCAGCTCCGGGAGTTGGTGATGGACAGGGAAGCCTGGCATGCTGGTATCCATGGAGTTGCAAAGAGTCCGACACGGCTGAGCAACTGAACTGATATCTGAGAATGACCAAATATATTTATTTTTCATAAATCAAAATATTGCAGTCTACCCCCTGGTGGAACAGATCCCTTATGGCAAATCACACCCTGTTTTTGTGGATGGAAAATGATTAATCAAAAGTAGTGGAAAAATGTGGGTCCCTGTTATAGACTTACATTTGGGGTCACATTTATAGAACTGATAAAACAATAGTACCAACACAAATAGGCCTGACATTTGGAGAAATCAGTGTGGGATAAGGATTGATTTAAAGAAACGTGGTTGCTGCTTGTACCTTACATTCAATTTGTACAGAACTATTTGGCACGGAAATCAGCTGGTGATTAGTTAGATCCTGTTCCTCCTCAGGCCAGTCATTTTCCACAACTGTTATATCCTTCGGAGACTTAACTCAGGCCCTCAATACATTTGGTCATCAAAATGCAGTGTAACTGGGGAAGCCGCTCAGCAGTAAAGAATCTGCCCGCAGTGCAGGAGACGCAGGAGGTAAGGGTTCTGTCCCTGCTTTGGGAAGAGCCCCTGGAGGAGGAAGTGGCAACCTGCGCCAGCATTTTCTTGCCTGGAGAATCCTGTGGACAGAGGAGCCTGGGGGCTACAGTCTGTTTGTCCATAGAGTTGAAAAGAGTCAGACAGGACTGAGTGAACACACACACAAGCAGGGTTCCCATAAACTCATTTACGTGAGGTAGTTGACTCTTACCAATGCCAGGGTTAGGCCATATCAAAATATGGCCAGAGTATAACTCAGTTTCATTACAGAACAAATCAGTAAGAACTATGGAGGTATTCACTTCGCCTTCCCAACCACATCTGCCATTGCCCGTGTACCAAATGTTACTAAGGATAGAGGTTGTAACAATTGACCATGATTCAGTTAGCTCTGAATTTCAGGGTAACCAGGGACAAAACTGCAGGCTTGTACTGAGGCTGTGTTTTACCGCAGGGGCCACCTCTCCTATAAGGAGAACATAAATGGGATTTAGGTTATTCCTGTCCCTACTGGCTGTGCCACGGGGTATATTTTATTTCTAGCTTTTCTGGAGGCGAGAGCAGTCCGGGTGCATCTGTGTAAATCGTTAATGCTTCTAGAGAACTTCCCTAAGCTTGAAGAGCCATAGCATTGCCATGGGTGTGTGTGCCCCGAGCCTCAGTGGCTAGAATGGAGGGCCACCTGCCCCCTGGCCGCTTCGGCCTCTGTTCGTATGAAAACAGTCAAGAGGCCTTGGGTTTGTTAGGTCAGGGTACAGACCCCTTCCCAGCGCTGGGATCTAGTGTATCCAGCATTATTGGCTGAATCTGCCTGACCCACTCTGCTAGTAGCTCATTCGCTTTCCCTGGTCCAGGAAGATCCCCTGGAGTAGGAAATGGCAACCTGCTCCAGTAGTCTTGCCTGGAAAATCCCATGGACAGAGGAGCCTGGTGGGCTACAGTCCATGGGATCACAAAGCGTTGAACACAACTGAGCAAGTACACAGACATACACACATACACAGGGAGTCCGTGGGATCACGAAGAGTTGGACACAACTGAGCAAACACATGCAGACACTTTCTCTCTCTCTCTCTCTCTCTCTCTCTCTCTCTCTCTCTCTCTTTCCAGGCTGGCTCCCATTCTTTGCCTTCCACCTGGAAGAGAACTGCCCCTCATCTGCCTATTCTAGTTCATCTTTTTCCTCTGAGTGCTGCTCTTCATTAATAGCAAATTCCACTCATCCTCAGATCCCCACTAGCACCTGTTCACCCTCAGACTCTTTCTGGCTTGTGGGCCAGAATTGTTGAATCCACGAGGGACGTTGATGCCATTGCATACTAGTGGCCTGGGTGCACTTAGGATGCATGTTTTGCACCCCACAGTTTTGGATCCCCCAGACTAGAGTTAGATGCATGGTATGCACACCTGGAAGTAGTTTAATTTAGTTGGAACATGCCACGAGACTTCGCTCAGCCTGCCTTGTCTCTGGTGGGGCTGTTGCCTTAAGGAACTTGAGCCACCAAGAGATGCCCACTGCTTTAATCCCATCAGGGACCCACTGTTTCTCCCTCCTTTTGATGAATAGTTTTCCATCTGCAAAAACAGGGTGTCATGTGCTTGCACATGGCGCACCCTCAGGTGTGCGTGCATGCTAAGTCACTTCAGTTGTATCCGACTCTGTGACCCCATGGACTGTAGCCCACCAGACTCCTCTCTTCATGGCATTCTCCAGGCAAAAATACTGGAGTGGCTTGCCATGCCCACCTCCAGGGGATCTTCCCGACTCAGGGATCTAACCCATGTCTCTTACATCTGCTGCATCAGCAGGCAGGTTCTTTACCACTAGCGTCACCTGGAGAAGCCCCATGTTGGGCATGCTGCCATTGTATTTTGACCATCATAACCAGGGACGTTTCTAAGCAATTGATGATCAAGATCTGTAGTTCCACAGTGATTACATAGACCAGTCTGCTGAGAGCCATACACCACACAGTTTGCAGTCCCAGAGGAAACGGTTCCCAGATGTTGTCCTTTGTGTAGTAGACATGGCCTGAAAAATAGAGGAGTCAGAGATAGAGGCACATCGCTTGACTTCCATTTAGTCATGAACAGTTTTCCTGTTCATTAATATATCTTAGGACCAGAGTGTCTCCAAAAGTGACACCATTCAGGTTTGCAGGCTGCTGCTCCATCTTGTCAGGTCCCCAAATCAGGGCTGGTCTCAGCAAACTAGCTTCAGCCTGCCGGGCATCTGGCATGCTTCTGCTGAGAGATCATATTATTCTGCTCTAAGCCTCTCTCCAGGTATTAATAAAATGTTGGGTTTCCCTCATTGCATAACCCGCTTATTCATCCCTTTACCCTCAGAGGTTATTTCTCCTTTCTCCTTTCCATTTGGCATTTCTCTTTTGCCCACGCTTTTGCACCCTTGGAAGGGACGTTAGTTTGGCCAGTACACCGTTCTATCTTGCTGCCAGGAAGCTAGGCTAGCTAACCCAAACCTCCTCCCCGCCCCTCCCCCACCAGGATTGCACAAGTACAGAACCGGTGGGCTTTCACAACCTCTAGACAACACAACAAGATTCACTGTCAGCCCCAGCGTTGCCAGGGGCGGATGAGGGCACATTCC